GCCATCGTAGGAGTCCGTGTAGCATATCTCGTGATACCTGGTGAAGTGGAGGGAGACACGGGATGCATAAGTCTGTCTGTGGTTTCCATTTTGTGCTCACATGGTATTTAACTCCGGTTTTAATATTCTAGTGTATAGAAGCTGAAGGACGTTGAATATGTTAGTTCCTTGAAGCTTCATCTGCACAGACTAAGTGTGCTCCTTTTTAATGCTAATAATCTACAAGCAAGTCTGTATTGTAATTTAATTTCTGCAAACTTTTGAACCATCTTAAGGAACTACAGATGCTTTGATGCATCTCATGGTTAGTGTAACCGAATACCTTCTAGTGACCGTCACTCTCACTGAGTTGATCTGGACGTGAACTTGAGAAATAATATGACGGATAGGTGGAAATCAGTTATCTGTGACACTGACAGCTGTCAGATATTTTAGTGTAGTGCAGATAGATTTTAATTTCTCTGAGGTCTCTGTAGCATAAGGCTTACATACACACTTTAAATGTGGCAACTGACCATTTAGAGCCTTGCTTGTTCTGCTCCGCGGGATCCCAGGGGATGTTAGTCACAGGGGTGGGTCTTACTTCAGCTTGAGATGACACGGCAGGGAGGCAGAAAACTCAGAAGAGAACAGGTCTTACCCCGTCCTCATCTTTGTCTTCCTTATGTCCGTGGTTAAAGGGGTGTGTGTGTACATTTAATATAGCCATAATCACAGGGAGTGTAACATCTTATTGATTCATAGGCTTTTGTGGATGTGTGCACGCGGTTTCTACTAGCTGGTAGTTGTTCAGATGAAAGTAATTTGATAAAACGTTTTGGCCTGTAGTCGGTGTCATTTATGCTGGCGATGGTAGCCACTAACTAAATGTAGTTAGTTCAACCTACTATATGGAAATAGAGTTGGTCCAGTCTTGTGCTTTGGTCATTCCCTGGTTTATTTTGAATCTTGCTCATATTCCTACATCACCTTGTTGGTTATGAGTGGAATTGATCTAAGTACAGGTAGTTGTGTTTATGCGATGCAATATTGTCTTTTTGTACGAGTGACAACTAGGAAAGAATGTATCATTTGTTTTATCTAATTTTAGCAGCCTGCAAGGTGGCTTGTAGATAGATTGCCTCTTCAGCCAGCAGCGAGATGGGCACAGTCAGAGGGTGCCGTACCCTGTTTGCAGTGCCTGTCTCATGGCCACAACCAGAATCTGGCCACCTAATCCGAGCTGTCTGAGGTGAGATGGTGAGTCTCATCCACGGGGAACAGTTGCATTTAACAGTATAGATACACCGATCCAAAAAACCTGTAGTAAAGAGACTGCATTGATGGAAGAATGTAAAATATGTAAGTGCAACTTGATCGTAATTTAGAAAACCAGCTGCCTGCTGGTATATGATTTAATTTTCAGTGCAGTTTAGTTGCAAGATGTTTTGTTTTGTTTTGTTTTTTTTAAATCTTAAGACTTGTCTGTATTTTTAATACATGTAAAATAATGCAATAACCATGTTGCATGCCACTTCTAACTTCAGTTCCGTTTCCCCAAAGCGTTTAGGTGTCGTTATTGCAAGGCAGGAGACAGAGCATCTCGGCTGCTGGCACCGCAGGCTTTGGCAGGCAGTGCGTGTTGTCTGGGTAAAAAGACGACGACTGAGGGAATTTAATATTGTAGCATCCATAAAAAATGGGAGCAATTTATTAAGCGAGGCTGTGTAAAGCTTTCTTATGGATGGAATTTACATTAATGCATTTTATTGTTCCATCTAAGCAGATCAAATGATAAGCATAGTGTCATGCACATGTTTGTGACTATTCTGTTAAATAGGTTTTAATACTTAATGTTTTTATTCTCATGCATTTGAAAGCAGCAATTATTTCCAAGAATAAAGATAATTATATTTGTCTCGATGCTCTCAGGATTAAAGGGGAAAAAGCTGTATTTTAAGGTGTATCACGACAGACGAGGAGCTCTGCTCTGATTTGCCATTGAAAGTCCAGCAGCACAGTACCCAGTCCCGGAGCACTTCTGCATGTATTGTCCAAGAGCCTGGTAAGAGTTTTAGCAGCGGTAAAAAGTGTTGCCTGTTGATGACATTTCAGAGGCATGCTCAGAAATGATGCCAAGAAGGAGTCTGGTGGCTGGTTTGGCGTCGGGGGTAGGTGGGGAGGGGGAGAGAGCTGTAATCCATCTCAGCTGTGTGTGCGCAGGGTTTTTCTCCTCACTCCGGCTCTCGCACGCACGCTCGCTCGCGGGGACATGTGACTTTTGGCCATATTAGCAGGTTTATCCAAGCCTAGGCCCTCTGACTAACAGCTAAGGGCATTCTGGGATTGCAGCAGTTGCTTTTCAACAACAATGTCCTTTTTGTAAGAATCTGATGCTTCTTAGAAGATGGAACATGACATCATTACCGTCGATCCAAGAAACATTCCTTCAATAATACTGAGTGTGCTCTGGTTATCAGCTCCCTTCCCCCAGCTCCTTTCTCTCGCTTTTCTGACTGATGCTTTTTGTCTATTGTTTCATTGGGGGCTGTAAATGTGAAACAGTTGTCTTTCAGTGTTATGTGCTTGTTAGAGCTGGAATCAAATGGAATATTGTTGCCTTATTTGAAAGAAAGAAAGAAAAATAGCAAGAAAAACTTTTCTTCCAGTCTTCATAAATGTAGTGTGCTTCAGGTACGGACTGAATTGAAGCTAATTATTTCCCTTCCCACACGGTGTTAGTTACTGCGTTATGCAACGGAAGGTGGAGATAGCGCAGTCCCGTTCCCGTGCATCTCTCTTGCCTTCATTGGCGGTTGGGTATGTCATGTGCTGATGCCGTCTGCTTCGAAGGCTGCTGTAACGGTCCTGCATCCGTACGAAGTACGTGTGTGCGTGCTCACAAGTGCAGTATAGCAGAGTTGTGAACAGCTGTGTATTTTCTCTGTGTGTGTATATATATATATATGTTTTTATACTTGGTCCACCACTGGGATTTGAATGTCAGTTTTTCTTTAGCCCCTGAGAACGGGCTATCATGGAAACGCGTTTTGGGTTGCATTATAAATCTTTTTGAATGCTGACTGCTTGGAGGAAAGCTATGAAAATGCTGGATTTTGCTTCCCATCCCTGGGTTCTCTCTCCCATGCGTGTCTTCAGAAAAACTGGAGACTCCTGCAGACAGGTATGTCTTGGCTGTCTCTTGCACAGTCGTGCTCTCCTTGTAGCGATGCTGGCAGTTATTTGAACTAAGAAGGAGCAGGCAGTCTTCAGCACTTTCACGTGCTGCAACAGTCTAGAGAAGAGTACAACTGAGCATAAACATGCAGGAGTATATCTTTTTCCATTCTTGTAGGAATTGCTCCGCAGGGAGGGGAAAACAAATGATTCATTGATGGTCTAGAGGCTTGGAGAAAGGTGGGGGTTATAGTGTCCAGAAAAAGAGGAAAAACAGACAGGGACAGCGCCTTCTGATACATTGGTTAAACTCAGGTTTGTTGTCTTTTTTTTTTTTTCTCTTTATGAAGATGTAAAACTTTTAAAAAACCAAAACAAACAAACAAAACAAAACAAAACAAAAACAAAAACAAAAAAAACCAAAGTACAAGTCTTGACCAGACAAGGATTTTTGGAAAGAAGTGACCTGTGTGATTAGCTGTTTGCCAGTGACACAGAATTGTTTTTATTGGTGACAATTTACAGGGAATTGGGAGGAAATCCCAATGTCCAAGCCCTTCCTCCGTGGTGGGGGAAGTGCATCTTACTTGTAATGGTTGTTTGACTTCACCTGTTTGTAAAGATACAGTAAGATTTTAGCACAACTTCAAAGTATACTTTTATTCTGGATAGATTCCAAGACATGCTTTGAGTAGATGAAAGCAAATGCACTGTGCAAACAGAAAGGATTTCATATGTTCTCAATGGCGTCTGAAGTTGCAGGTTGCTCTGAAGAAAGCATTTGGCGATGGACTATTGTAGAAGGCTGTATCGTGTGCTATCGCAATTAAAATGCATGTTTGTATCTGCTGAAGCAGAGTAGAAAGACATGCATCATGTGTGGAACTGGGTATCTCCTGTTCAGGATGCTGTTCCTCTAAAGGAGGAGGTTGCAAGTAAGACTCTGAAGAGCAGGCACTTTACAACGGAGGTCATGAATTTAGATAAGAGGAAAAACCAAAAAGCACCACGACTTACTTAGTTGTAGAAGGAGAAGCTTTAGAGATGTCTCTGCATGCACGCTGAAATGAGGAAGAAAACAGGTCACTGGCTGCTTCTTAACTGGAGTGCAGTTACAGAAGAAAAAAACACTGACCTGAATTTAAAAAAATGTAAATACAGTTCAGTAAATGGCAGTGGTGGTTCATACGCATCATACTTGTACCGTGTATCTTGTCTTGCAGACCATGATGTATATACGTAATTGTGTTATCCACTTCACAAAGTCCAAACAATATTTTAAGACACAGTGAATGTAACTCTTCAGAGGGAGAGTGTCAAGGTAATATGGACTCACTGGTGACAAGCTGGTTATCGCTGTAGGTCAGAGAGATGCTGCTGGTGGCTCTGCAGGTGACTGAGCAGATGCTGGAGCAAGGAGTGTGTCTCATTTTGTGTTTTGATTTGTGTTCTGTAGAAATACTTGACTGGTGTCACAGTGGGATCGTGACATTATCCCAGCAGATAGGTTGTGTTGCTTCATGCAACAGGGATGCTTGCTCAGGAAGAAGTGGAAGCTGCTCTGCTGTAGCTTTGTTTCTGGCTCTTTGAGAAGAGGATAATCAGTAAAGGATTGCAATCTTTTTCTTGCAGTAATCCATGCTGAAGAGGCTCCATTCATACAGATGAACCAAGGGTTGAGGCAGCACTTTAAACCCAGATAGTCGGTCGGCTAACTGCCCAGCAGGATGCCATCAACCAGCCGAGCGGGCAGCCTGAAGGACCCAGAAATTGCAGAGCTCTTCTTCAAAGAAGATCCAGAAAAGCTCTTCACAGATCTCCGAGAGATTGGCCATGGAAGCTTCGGAGCAGTTTATTTTGTAAGTAGCTTTGTGATTTGTGAATTTTAGCTGTGTCTCTTTTTATCTTTAAACTGTGAATGTAGACTTTTTTGAATGTATTGAAGAAAAGAAACTAGTGGGAATCTTTTTATATGGTATTTGGGGCAGAGATACTTTCTTGTGTGTCTGTACAGTCTCAGTCCATTCACAGACTCGCAGTATCTGTAAGGTGTTTGCATACAAACTGAAAAGAAAAACTGGAAATGTAGCCCTTGCCTGGTGCTTTTGGGTACATTGTTGTGTTGCAAGCAGGGATTTGTCTGCAAATTAAAACGTGGACTTCTGCTCCATCAATTCTGACTGGTAATGCAGTTGTCTTGGTCTGATCATCTCCTTATCATCTCTTGTCCCTTGAGAGAAATTGAGTTCTCTCTCCCTTTGTGCATACCCCCAGGCTCGCTTAAAGCCATTCTTTGTGTTTGACACCTGAATGTTGGTGCTTTTGTTGTCATTTGTCCTGTCACATCCTTCCCTACTGCAGGCAAGAATCCCAGTATTCATCTACATAAAACTTACTTGATGTGAACGTCTGGACAGCAGAATTTTTCCCAGGCTGCTTGTATAGCTCAGCCGGAGGTGGGATGTCTCACGGTAACCTCATTTGCAGGTTGCTCTATGTCTACCAAAGTGCATACTGAGACCTTCATTAAAAACCCATTTTCCTCAAAAAAAACCTTTTCACATTTATAATTATAGGAGGTGTGGCCAAACCTGCCAATTTTCCTTCAGAAAGCCATTTGTGTCAGTATTTTATGAGATGCCTATTCATTGTTAATAATTGCAGCAGACCATGTTGGGAACCTTCCAGCACAAATTTAATGCAGCACAGATGAACTAATTAGGAAAAGCTTCTTAATTTTGTTCCCTGCTTAAAACTATGAGCCGCCACTGTCTGGGAACAGATCTGGGGGAGGAAGCATTTTCTAATGAAACAGAACTCACCTGCGGCCTTTACTTCATCGCATTTACTCACTTTAGTTAGAGTGGATATAAAAGGAGGGAACTGACAAATCTATCTTCCTGCTATGTGGAAATATTACTGAAGAAATATTATTGTGGAAATACTATTGAGGTTTTTCAGGAACACTGTGTCTTAATAGAGGCATGCATGAACCACAGGGTGATGGAAAACCACCATAGAGCTAGAGGTAACCTGCGAGCTGTGTGCTAACAGCGTTCCCCAACATCAGCAAGAAGCTGCTGTCGTGACATTTGTAACCTGCCTGAGCTTTATAGTTGTGGTAAGGGCTGATTGCCTGTTACCGGCTCCTTCTACAAAGCGATCGAAAGTAAGAGGTCATTAATTTCTAGGTCCTTCTTTCTCTTTTTTTGCCACCATTTTAGACTACCAGTTCATTATAGATTGGTATTTATTCACTAAAGAGTGCGATTACTTGCTGGTGTTTGGATTGTGCTGCTTTGACAGAAAGTACATCTAATTTGGCACTTACAAAAAGACAAGTCTAAACAGCGCATTGTGCTGCTCCAACCCATTTGGGGGCTTTATTTTTGTCAAGCAAGAGAGAGTTTCCTACAAAGAAGATAAACTGTTGCTATTTCTGTGTTACTAAGTTTTAACCTGTAAGTTTTATGTTGCATGATGGTATCTTTTTACTGCTAGCAGGTCTGAAATCTTGAATCTGAAACTGTTTCATGTAATGTACTGGGTACCTCAAACAGAAGCCCAAAAGATGAGAGAGACAGCATAGAGGGAGAAATTTATTGTGAATTAAATAAGCATAAAGAACTAAAGTAGGGGAGTGTATGTCTTGGGTCCTTTATTCCTCTATAAAGCTAGGGAAAAAACTTCTTCTAAGTTTCTTTAACAAGATTTTGATTCTGCTAATGCAAACAATTAAACTTTCTCTAATCAATGTAATATTGGATTATAGTTAATAACTGCTTAAAAGCATATTACGAAAGCTGATGACATACTCCACCTTTTCTTTGCTCATGCTTTACTTGTATACTGCTGAAGTTACTCTGGTCACCAGATGTTGATCTTTTGTATGGAGTTTTCGGAGGAAAGCAGGTTATAGACGCATAAATGTCTGCCATAAAACAAACCTCATTCATTTGGATCGTTTAAGTTAGCTGGCCTTGTAACGTATTCATGACTTTTGTCTAGGAACCGACTTTTTTCAGTTATTCAAGATCACAAGGAAACTAAAAAAGCAAATGAAACTCCATGATTTTAACATTCATAGGGCATCAGCTGTGATGGTTCTCTCTCTCAGCCCCGCTGTAGCAATGAAGGACTGTAGGTGTTCGGCAAACACAATCTCAGGGGTTGCTTGCTTGGGTTTTCTAATACATAGCCCCCCCCCCCAGGCTGCTTTCATTGCATACGGCCTGGACCAAAGGTGTTGATAAGAAATAGTTGTGGGAGTAATTAACAAGTAGAAAAATGCATATAATCCTGAAATCTCCCCCTACCTTTTTTAAAATGCAGTTTAGTGTTTCACTGTTAGATATACCTACCTACTTTTTCTTTCCTTTTAGCAGTGATCCTGAGAAGGAGTGATTATATTTATCTCGCATGATAACTGGCTAAAAGTGTTCACTCTAGTCTCTTTCTTTGTTTCTGTTACATCCTGCAGTGGTGGAAAGTTTCTTTTTTCCTTTCATAATTGACATGAATGTTGCTGGTTCACCTCATGGTTTTAGTTTCTTAGAAACTGCAAGTCTGGCACCTCTGAATCATTTTGGTATTATCCTTACCCTACTCCCTGCTCTGCAGTGTAATAATAGCTTTCACTTGACACAGGAAACCTACTACACTGGAACGCTGCAGATGGAGCAGAAGAATAACCCACTCTCTTTTGTTAGAGCTGTGTTCCTTCTGCTCTACTCTAGTATTTTGCTTGCCTGTTTTATTGCCCTTCCTCACTGCTTGGAATCTTTCAGAGATTGTGTCTAATTAGTGAAGATCTAGGACTCAGAATTTTATTCTTCCCTTTTTGTCTCAAAAAACCCCAAAATGGTCGTCCTCCCAACCTTAGAGGTAATATCAGCGAGACAGTAGGAAAGATCCTCTCAAACAGGAAGAGAACTAAAAATAGTATTGGTTCAAGCTTATTATAACTGGTTGAAAGAAAGACTGACAGGGAATTCTGGGAATCTCTTTAATGAACAGCAGAATTAAAACACGACTGAAAAACCTTTTTACAAAAGGCAGAGTCCTGGTACTTCATTAATCCATGTTCTGATAGACTGTGCTTGATAGTACAAATGTATTAAAAATCAACATTTTCATCAGTCATCAGTGAATGCTGTGGTGCACGTTATTCTGATTTATATCATTTGGCTTCATATCCAAGTTGATTGTTCTTATCAGAGAGACTCAGGTATTTTCCTCCACCACCCTCCCGCGCTGCTGCAATCCTTAAGGGAGGAGAGGCTGGGGTCTCGTCTGGAGCCATCCTTCCTGCAGGGTGAAGCAGTGCTGCCTCTTCTCCTGCCAGGGTGAATGAGCAGTTGCTTTGGGGCTAAATTAAAGAAAACTTCTTGTCTAATCTATCTTTGATTGTTGCTGTCTGAAGTCAGGAAATCTGCCTTTGAAGTGTGAAAAACCGTGTACGTTTATTGTGCAGTGTAAATAATAATATTATTTGACTGAGAAAGTGAAATTCTGAATGGGAATCTGAAGATGGGCCGCTTACGTCACTGCCATCTCGCTCTCTCTTATCTGCCTGCCTTTAAGACACACCAGGTAATTTAAGGGAGCACTGAGGAGAAAGCCACCGGTGCCTGGAGCAGGTATCTCCTGTGCATCCTGTGACATCTTTGCTTAGGTTTGGAATGGATCAAGGGGGCTGAGCCTTGCTTCTGTTTTGTCTGGAACAGACCTGGGTAGGGAGACAAGTTGAATTACGGAAAATCCGTTCTACTTGAATCACAGCTGCTTTTATAAGCTATGATTTTTAGTTCAGAAGCGATGGCGCTTGACTCCTGTAGAGACTTGCTGGATGCCGAGCACGGAAAAATGTCATACCTTGTCTCACAAACAGGAGGGTGATCTTTAACTTTGGAAGGAAATTTCTAATAGGCACAGCGGTCAAACCCCTTGGAAGATATTTTAGTTTAACTCTCTGCAAAAGTTAACTAATGGATAAAGATTTTTTTAGGAGTATGTTTGGTTTACATCTTGTGGGAAATAATGATCTGAAGAAACTGATGCATCGTGTTTTCATGTTACAGGCACGTGATGTGCGCACCAATGAAGTGGTGGCCATCAAGAAAATGTCATATAGTGGAAAGCAGTCCAATGAGGTATGTAGGACATGTTGCATATTAAATCTTGACCATTGCAAATAGTTATTATATGGGATGATTTTAATTAGCTAGGGTTACAGCAAGAGAAATCTTTCCTGTAACTGTAAAAGTGAATGAGGGTACTGTGTAAACAAAACAAATTAGTTTACTGCTCACAGTGTGTTTCTGCCTAATCTGCTCCTGGAAAAGATGGGTAGGACTCTTTTCTTCCAGACACAAAGGACTCTCTTATGGGACCACATAAATGTGTAGAAAGCAAAAAAGAAAATTAAAAATGGTAGATTTGTATGTTAGCATGTCTTGTTGCCCTTAAATGTTCCATTTTAAATACTTTTCAAAATAACCATGTCGTTTACTGGACAAAAGAATAATAGCAATGGATGCAGTAGTGAAAGATTCAGAGGGAATCTTACTTGTACAAAGTAGTGAGGCAGAATGCATCCTTCCCTGGAACAACGGTCCTGGTGAAGAACTAAGACAAAAGCAAACCAGCAGTGAATGAATGAGTGTGAAAATCTGAACAGCAGCATGATTACGGAAGAACTGCCAGAGCCAGGGATTAAGGCAGTCTTTGCAGAGAGGTCTGTAAAAGTAGACCTCTGAGACTTAAACGTTAAGTGTTTTCATGGCCACCCCAGATGTATGTTTTTTCCCTAGGACACTTAACAGAGATAATTGATTTTATACTTGAAATCTTTAAGTGCTAATACAGATTCTTGAAAAGCCCAACATGATGTGAACAGCTGATTTGGTATTATTTCTGGTAAATGACATCTATCAAATTGTGGCATGATTTTTCAACAGAAGCATTTGTTGTAAGGCATTTATGGTTCCCTCCCTCCATTCTCTATATTCCAGTCTTGCTCCAGTGACTTTGACTAACAACTCATTGCTTTCTGTGCCTGCCTTTTGTGTATTGATCATCTGCGCTACAAGAAGCTGAACTGTTCCTTCCTTTCTGTGTGTGTGTATGTATCTGTAGGAGGTAGAGGTGGCAGTGTCTCTCCAGCAGTCCTAGATTCTAGCTTCATAGTTAAATTTGCTATGCGTGTTTCTATTTTGTCACTGCGGTGACTTGTTTAACTGTGTACTGATGAAAGAATAATTTGTACTTACTACTTGTCCTACGGTTTTAATTACTGTGAGCTATAAATATTCTGTTCACATGAATGAAACAAACTGTGCATGCTTCAGAAATAGCTTTTGTTTGTCTTCAGTGTGTATGTTTCTTTATTTTGAAGGAAGTAATAAGACCAGGATTAAAACACTTTCTATTTTACTTCTATATTTATTTGTTTTGTTCAGAAGTTTGCTAGAGTTAGGATCTAGCCTATGTAAAGAAAATTGATTAAGGGCATCCTGTTATCGTTTATATTTACTTTGGTTTCCTAATAAGATTTTATCATTGATGGGAACAATTATTCTCTGAAATAAGGACATACTTTGTACTAAAAATAAGTTTAAAACCTTTGAAATATGTAGTACTGTGCTTTTAATAAGATCTTGGAGCTTTTTTTTATGCAGGAAATCATGAATACATCTTGACTAATGTATCACCTCTCTCTTCCCAATATAGAAGTTTAGTGTGGTGCTTTCTTGGTTTAGCTTTTATTGCTTAGTACCTCAAAGCCTTTGAGACTAAAGGTAAAAGGCAGCTAAGTTGTTCTTGTACTAGGAGGAGGGTGTCGGTGAGAGAGTTTATGTTAGTACGGCTGCACTAATGTCATTCTCATGAAATTTCTGGTGTTGAGAAATGCTTAGTCGATCAGCCACCTCGGTTGTGGCTACCACATTCCCTGGTTTCATTTGTTTCTCTAACCCTAAAATTTTTATTGAGGAGGATTTGGGTTTTGTGCATGTTTTCCAAAGCATTTGGGTATATGGGACCTTCGTCCATCTATGAATCCCAGCCATGTACATACACCTGAGGAAGTGTGTGCTGAGAGATTAACGGGACTTGGAAAACAGCTTTTGAACCTTTTGGTGTTGGGTGAGGTTTTTCTACCTCTGATTAACTTCAAAACTGATAACTTTCTCGAAAACATTTTCAGTGTCAACACTCTTGTGTTGACATATGCATACTTAAATAGTTTCAGGTACTGGATTTGTTTTTGAAAATCTTTCCTGGTAGTTGTAGTTTTGCTGTTGCACTTATAAGCTTTTACCTTTCTTACCTGAGGAGGTGTGGGTGTGCAGCAAATGGGAGGGCTTGGTGGTTTCCTCCGACTGCAGTAATGGCAGTGTCTAGGCACACATTGGAACGTGGCATTTTGGCCTCTTCTGTACTTTAAAGTTGCACTGGCACCGCTCCCCTTATTATAAACCTGGATTTAGTTTTATCTGTTTATTCTTTTACTCCTGCAGAACTATTCCCTTATCTAGTAGGTAACTAATTTGAAATCGGTCCTTGTAAAGACTAAGCTAGCAATGGAGAAACATTATCAAGAATGTAGTCAGATATTTGGCGGCTGATAAATGGAGCCTCATCCATGGTAATATAGTTACTAGTAGGGATAGGTCTTTATATCTACAAGAGTTAAGTGAGAGAC